GATACGCCGATACTAAAATAAATTATTAATGTAAAAATACAAACTTTTTGCAATTAATTGACTTTTTGAATTCAATCATAACTATTTTTTTTTCTTGCAAAAAATTGCAATAAATATGAAATGAAAAAAATCAGCAAAGAATTAAAAATGAAATTACCAGTAATTCTCGCGGGAATAGCAATTAAGGAAAAATATATAAAAAATGCAATTAGCAGTAAATTAGCGATAACCTGAAATTTTAGAAATAAGCTTGGAAGCGGAATAAGCTTGGAAATGATAACAATAATAACGACGATATTATGATCATTCTATCAATGCTTGAAAAAAAATCGCTTTAATCTGAAATAATAATATCATCGTCATTTTGATACTTGCACATTTAAAGCTCGAATAATAGCTTAAAACATTTTACTCACTCAATTAAGATACAAATTTTTCCAAAATAAAATTATATTTGAAGCAAATCAAATAAATTTTCACTATGATAAGGTAATCTAATGATCTACTGAGAAAATAATGCAATCTATTTCTGATCTATGAAACTATTTTCAGAGTTAAAAGGTGTTAGATTTCGTTTGAATTTAAGAGTAGTTTAAAAGTATTTTTAGTATTTTTGAAATTAAAAAGTATTTTAGATTTTATTCAATACACTCAAAGTTAATAATATTTCACTTTTATATTTTGTGTGATTTTGTTCAATTTTCTTTTTACTTTTCAAACAATTGCATCTAATTAAATTGACGGCTAATTTTACTCACCAAATATGCAATGAATGGCAATACAAAAAGTGGAATTTTATATATGCTTGCAATAATAACAAGAATGCCAGAGATCCAAATTGCAAAAATAAGCATAAAGTTTAGAATTCCATCATCCAATCCAACCGTAACAAGCATTGCAACATGAGTGATAATTGCAAAAATTGTACTCAAATAAGCTATAATTTGCACCCAAATCTAAAATATTCAAATTAAGTTTGCTTGAAAAATCGAAATAAGAAAAATATAAATTATCTATTAAAACTACCTGTTGATAAAGGTAAATTATTTACAAGTCATTACTCGAATAAATTTAACATTTTTATTGCCAACGTTTAAAAAGCTAAGCAATGTTGTGGTCTTAAATGAATTTACGGTTTACGGTACTAAAACAGGTGAGAATATGAAAGCAAACGATAAAAATGATCATATAATATTATTATTTAACGAAGATAAGTTATTGAAAGAATTTTATTTCTTATAAGAAATTAAAAAAGAAAATTAAAATTAGCATTCGTCTAAAAATATATCAAGAAAATTTGATACTGATTGAGATCTATTGCAAACATCAAATAACTGATAACAAAAAATTATCTCAATAAAGATAAATCAGCAGTAAATTATTGTCTTTTTGAAATGATTTATATAATATCATTTCAAAAAGACAATAATAAATTATCTTGTTAAATAATATATACGATGATACGATGATGTTTTTAATGGATTATTATCAGGAAATAATAATAATATAATAATAATAATAATAATAATAATAATAATAACAATAATAATAATAGCAATAATAATAATCATAATAGCACTATACTTAACTATTACTATAACTTTCGTTAAATTAATTTTATAATTCAGTAATTCAAAACAAACATTGATATCCCAGCAACAAAACTTTTCTTCTTTCAAATGAAGACATTTTTCTAATTTTTCTGAAAATTTTATGGAATTTTAGTGAAAAAGTAAATATATTAGCATTACTATCCTTTGATATATTTTTGTACACAAAAAAGCAAAAATTCTGCGAAAATTTTTATAAACAAAAGTTTTTTATTGCATAAAGTATTAAAATTTATGATAAGAGATGGAAATAAATGAAATTATTTTTTAATAATTAATCCTTCAGGTTTATTGTTTTTTATTTTTACAATCAACCAAATTTTTTTATGCTTTAAAATTTTTTTAGCTTTTATTTCATTTAAACTTTTTGCCAAGACAATATGCAAATTACCAAGATAATTGTATGCTGCATCAATTTTCTTTGCAAATAATCCACCTAACTTTTCATATCCATCAGATTTTTGCATTTGATCAACATCTTCAGTGCTGTCAGTTCGACCGACTTCTGATGAAACCATTATTTAGGTTTACTTTTTAAGTCAAATTTTAACACTTATATGATTCGATTCAGAATATCTATTCATTTTTGAATGCAAATTTTTACTACCTCTCAGTGCATAAAATATTGAATCAAAAATTTTATTTTTCATACCTTCCACGCAAATAAAGTATACGCAATTTTCTGACGAAAATAATACAAAAATTATTATTTTCCTTAATGCAACTTTGATTTCTCATATTTATTGTAATTATCTATAGCTATATTAAAAAAATATTGACAATTAATTTTACTAATTAAATTAATTCAGTAGAAAAAACAACCATTTGAATTGTTGAAAAGCTGATACAGCTAATAGCCGAAAACTAGTTTATAAACTTAATAGCCTCTAATATTTTTCCAACAAATTTGAGACTTTAAATCAGTAACAACATTTGTCTATTTAAATTCTTATTCGATTTTAAATTAAACTTTTGTAGCTAAATTCTTATTTAATTCTATTTAAATTCCCATCATCTTATCTATCTAAATTCTCATTTGCAAATTTCTAAATCACTAGTAATTCTGAACTAAATGATCTACTTGTAATAAGGATTATATCAAAATAGTCTGATCACTTTATACAGTTGTATCAAGACCGATAAATTAATCGTAATCTTTATAAAAATTTTGTTAATATAACTTTTTACGAAAACAAAATATTTTGACTTAATTGCATGCATTCAGTCTCATAACAAAATGATTCTACAAGTGTGAATCAAAATTACTCATTTTTACGTTTTATTTTCACAAAATAAAAATAAATTAGCTATTAATGTCTAATTTTGTAGCAAAAAAATTATTTGTAAATATTTATTTCATACAATTTGCATTATCAAACATAATTTAGATTTCAGTTTCAATCATTTTGCTAAACTGTTACAAACAATAAATGAAATGAACAAATACTTTGGAATTATTTTTGATATTTATTATAAAACTAAGTGACAACATATCTGAATATTTTCAACAAAAGTCGTATTGCTTTGTGTTTACAAAACACCATCATTTCTGGCTTTAATATATGAATTTATAATTTGAAACACAATCACTGGATACGGTAGTTCAGGGAGACCATTTAAATATATTGCACAGTGGCTATATTTTTTAAGGACTAGATAGGCCTTGCTTACGGTAGAGCATTATCTGATACTGGTGAAGACCATTGCTGTGATGCATAAAATGCTGAAAAAATTTTTGTATATTACTAGAACTATCATTCTGAATAACAACGACTCTTCTATCTTTATAGGTCATAAAATTGAGGCATGAAAGTACGGAAATGTCTAGAAGTATTAATATCAGAGATAATGAATAACATATTCAGTCTAGTACATAATATGAGACATAATTATATGACACACCTAATTTAATTAGTACATAATTTAATTATATGACATACCGGATGGTTGAAGTCGGTCCTGTTGAACAAACGAAGAATACGATGCAGGGGTAGCACTCAGGTATTGTGGTGGATTCTCGGGATTCACCATAGAAATTGAACTTCTATCAGCTAGTTGTATAGGATAATGAGGTGGAAGTACGGTAGAATTTGGTAACATCCCAAGAACAACTGGTGGCAAGGTAGGAAGAGTCATGTTGGATATACCAAATCTGGACATAATATCTTGGAATGATGGGATTGGTGCAAATGTTACTGATTCTTGATATTCTGCAAGACTACTTTAATTATTTTTCACTAAAAAATTCAATTTTTCATTGATTATTAATTTGTAATGAATTTTCGAATTTGTCAAGAAGTATTCACATATTATCTTTCACCATGAAGCAATTCATTCAGTTGCGAATTATTATTAAATAATTTGTGCAGTTTTTTTATATGATATAAATATAAATAAATATAAATAAACAAATAAATAAATATAAATAAATAAATAAATAAATAAACAAATAAATAA